CCGGGTTGCCCATGCTGCAGCTCACGCACGGAGAGGGGGGTTACGGTTTGGGCTGGGGGAAGGCAGTGACCTTCCTGCACGCAGTGTGGGACCAGCACCCTGTGCACAGCTCACCCTCCAGAAGCAGCAGCGTGGAGGCAAGTCCTCCCGAGGTTGTCAGGCGTGTTGATATCGAAGCCTGCAGACAGTACGTGCTCATTGCTCAGCGAGGAGACGATACTGTACAACTGACCTGGGTGGCAGGAGGGGCAGGGAATCAGGGGGAAGCTCGGGGGTCACTCGACTACCCCCTCCGCAGGAGGGGCGGCTGAGCCACTCACCTGAGGAAAGTAGCTTACGACAACAGTCTGAAAATCCAAAGAGAACAGCTAAGTGCAGAGGGAACATGTCGTGGATCCCACGCCTGCCAGGAGACGAGAAGGGAGTCAGGATGGATCATTTCTGAGTCCTCCAGCCCAGGGCAGGGAAAGGAAGGAAGAATCCTTCCTTACCTTGCAGTGTCAGCACCATTTGTCATCAAAGTACTAATTAGCAGCTCGTGGCCATATCTAGCAGCAACGTGGAGGGGGGTATTGCCGTATTTGTCAGCACAGTCAATCTCACTGCCTAGAAAAGAAAAGCCAAGTGCTCTGCCAGGGGGTCCCTGCATTCTAGTCCTGAGCAGCCTAGGCTGTTTCAACGGCTGCATCCCCATCTCAGGGACATGGCTGATAACTCGAGTCCATTCCGTGCAGAAGGGGAATCGTAAACTACGCTCTGAGCCGAAAGCCCATTTGTATCCTGCAAGCCTGGGGCACTAGATCTCTCCCCCTTCCCACAGGAGGGTATGCTTTCAGCGCCGAAGGTCTCTGGCTGAACCCCCAGGGTGTCTGCCAAGCCTGCAGCCCTCTTAGAAAGAGCATTGTCTTCCAGGCTGGACATGGCAGTGGGAATGTTCTTTGGCCACAGCAGTTCTGACCTGGCTGGGATTTCAGTCCCCTGGTCTGCACTTCACTGCCCTCGAGGGCACGCCTGCTCCCTGCCACCCAGCAGTACAGGGCCACTGGCAACAGCCCCAAGGGCACAGAGTGAATTTGAGTGATAATTGTAGAGTCCTTTAACTCTCTGAGCAAACACACACGGAGGTCCTGGAAGCAAGTGCTGAGCAGCACAAGAAAAGGCCGGGGTAAGCAGGGCCACAGGAAGAAGCCACTCACCATTCTGAATGAGGATCTGTGAACGCGTGAACCGTCCGTGAATGGCAGCCATGTGCAAAGGGCTCTTCCCTTCCTTACTCTGCAGAGATCAGAAGTGACGTCACATCAGGCTTCCCACCACCCTCCCTGAGCTTCCCCCTCAGGGAGTGGGTCCCCGCTCCCCCCATCCCGAAGCTGCCAGACCTGAAAGTTGACATCGGCCCCGTTGTTCACGAGGAGCTCTAGGCACAGGGCCCCATTGGTGGAGACGGCAGCAAAGTGCAGAGGGGTGAAGCCCTTCTCGTTAGGCTGATTGACGTTGGCGCCGTAATTGACCAGCTCGTTGGCCACGGCATCTTGGCCCATGTAACAGGCAATGTGAAGTGCAGTGTTACCGAAGGAATTTGGTTCATCGATCTGTGGGAGCAACAAATCCCAGAGGCTTTGGGGATTCAGGAAGATAAAAAGGCAGTCGAGAACCAGCCAGGGCTCCTGCCACCACCCAGCACACCCCCCTGCTCCTGTCTCCAGACTGGCCTGCACCCAAGCCCACCCTTCTCGCAGCTGCAGCGGTCTTACCTCGACTCCCAGCCTCAGCAGGTGACGCACGACTTCGATCTGGCCGCTGGCTGCTGCAGTGTGCAGCAGGGTGTAGCCCTTCTTGTCCTTACACATCACGTCAGCTCCCCGGGCCACCAGCAGCTTCAGAACTTCCAAATGCCCTGTCCAGGAGACAGTGATAAGAGCCAGGGGACCCCAGAAAACAGAAACCTGGGCACAGCAGCCTCTGGGGAGCCCCACCACCCTGAAAGGTGAATCCATAGGCAGCAAGAAACATGGGAGAAGAAACCGGACCGAAGCCCACGGGGAAAACCTACCTAGGAAAGCTGCCCAGTGGATGGGCTGGCGGTCCTTCTTGTCGCAAGTACTCAGGCTGGCCCCTTTGTTCAACAGCAGGTTCACCATCTAAGATGGGGAGAAGTGGTAAGAGAGGCAAGGCTGCCATTCCTCCCCACCTGTGCGGGCAGAGGCGCCTTTGCCACCTGCAAAGCCCAGACCCAGGAAGGGGGACATGCATGGGACCCCCTGCGCCCGAACCCGCCTTGCCTACCTCAAGGTGGCCGCTGTGCACGGCGTGGTGTAGCGCCGTGCGGCCCGTGCGGTCCGCGACATTGACAGTGCTCAGCAGGGGGATGATGGCCTCCACGCACTTGGTGGCCCGGTTGGCAGCGGCGACGTGCAGAGGCGTTTGCCAATACTTGTCGCGGGCATTGACGTCTGCCGAGTGCTTCAGGAGGAGGTGAAGTGCCTTCTAGCAGGGGCAGAGGAAAGCAGAGCTCTAACCCAACCTGCTGGAGCCCACAGAAGCCCTCCAGCCAGGTGGGGGAAGCTGCAGCTCAGTCCACCTTACGCTTTCAGTACACACAGGGCTGCCCAGATCCACACCAGCCTACAGCCCCCAGAGCCAGAGCTGCCCTCGCGGGGCTGAGCTGAAATCTCTCCGCACACCGACAAGCATGGCTTCTCCCCACTCTGCCAAAGGAAAGGACGTGTTTGCTCTCGTGACCCCAATAACATTGTGAAGCCCGTGTATGGCTATGTTTCAGCATGTTATCACAAAGAATGGGTGAGAGAGATAAAGATGGCATGAGAGAGGCTCTGAGAAAGAGCAGGGAGAAGGAATCTTCCCCACATGAATCCTTCCACCCTTACCTGGGTGGCTCCAGCTCCTTCCAGGCTGGAGTTCAGTGTGTGGGACCTGAACGAGCCAGGCTCATCCCATCCCAGTGCAGCTGTGAAACGCAGCTGCACGGGGACACCGGCACAGAAGAAATACCTCCGAGCCACGTGATTTAACTGTAAGTGAGTGTTCATCCATGACTCATGAGGTGCGAAGCACCCGGGGGATAACAAATGTGACCCACTGACCTACATTTGATGATTATTTCCCCCTTTCGCTGGTAGAGGCTGTTTGCTGCAACCCCACGTTTTCCTTGCTATGGTTTACAGGCTGCCGGCTTCCATGCAGCATCGGGGCAGCGCTTCCAGCAATCCCAGCCCCATGGCTCACTGCTCTGCTCTTTTCTCCCAGGGTTAGCTGATACCACTCCCGGCTGGGAGAAGCACGTGAAACAGCCGGGCAGTACATAAACCCAGCAATCCCAGAGAGCAGGCTCTAGGCAGGAAAAGCTGTGAAGCACACGGGCATTTCGGGAAGGCTCCTCTCAGGAGCTGGGCACGGAAGGCACCATCGGAGCCCAAGCACCCCGGGGAAGAACAGAACGAGGGAGGTGACTCTCCAGCACATCTGAGCTGAGGCAGAGAAGCAAACGAGCGTGCTCAAATTCACAGACAAGCAGCACTTCAGATCTGACAGCGAAACAGTCTTGGCTTGCTGAGCTCCCGTATTTTAGCGACCCACAGTAACTGTCCACACATGTTCACAGCAAACGCCTTCAGCAGAGGTTTATGCTAATGTGCTTCATCCCAAGTCTGCTGCCGATTAAGAGAACTCATGCAATCAGTCGATGTGTGGTAACTTGCCCCGCACGTCAAAGTGAGGGCTTCGGGTCCCCTGGCTCCAGCCAACGTGACCACAGAGTTTCTTGCTCTCCAGCAACTCAAAACAGGACAAAGTTAAGTGGGATGAAGTTAAGCCCACAAAAGCTAAGCATCAGGAAATCTTTCCAACAAGATCTGTTGGAATCAGCTCCTGAGAGAAAGGGTGAGAGCCCCATCATCCCTCAAAGAAATGTAAAGCTGGATTAGACAAAGCCCTGGGGAAGGGGGAAATGCGGGGAGGAGGATGTTGTGGGGAAAACCCACATGCTAACTCCTGAAGGATGGAGGGAAGGGAACCACGGGGACTTTTTTCCCAGTTCTCATTTTCAGCCTCTGAATTATCTGTTCGTCCCTTCTCCACTCTAACGAGATCACTCATCTCAGCCAAAGCCAGGCAAGATCGAAAAGACAAGAAGCGCCATCCCCTCCTCCCATCAGCGCCCACCACCCCCACGCAAGGAGCAGAGCCAGAGGACTCTTCAGAGGGAACCTACCTCGTTACGAGAAGCCGCAGCGCGGTGTAACGGGGTGAGCCAAACAGTGTCCTTTGCGTTAACATTAGCACCTGATGAAGAACAAAAGGAGGGGTCAGGGGGCAGAGAGGTGACCGGCTGCCCCTAGGCGTGTCGCCAGCCACCTCTGAGGCAGCCGCTGGGCAAGGGTGCCAGTTCTGCTGCTGCGAGGGGACCTTGCCCTGAGCTTTAGGCGAGACAGACCTTGTGAACTGCAAGAGGAACAAGCTACACCCCTTGGGAGGCTGCGCTGGTGCACTGCAAAGGACACAGCAAGGCACAGACCAAAGAGTCCCAGAGCGCCAGCTTCCCCACTGAGCCAAAAAAACACAACAGAGATCCAGCGGGCAGTTCTGCTCCCTGCTTTGAAACAAGGCCACTTGAGACAAAAAAACCCAGAGCATTTCACGTTGGGAGCTGTGGTCGCTGTGGGCTGCAACTCCGTACTAGAAAGGAAAGACGACAGACTACTGCCACCCCAGATTTGTGCTGGGCACTTAGGTCCCACGACCCCTGAAGCCCCTGCCTTTCTTTGCTGCTGAGAACTCAACACACAGGCGTGAAAAAAATCAACACAGGGCACATAAGGGCATCCCATGCTCTGCAGATAGAGCTGAACATTCCCAAATCCTGTTTAACAAGCCCTCAACAAAGGATTTCCACAACTCTCCTCGTCAGGGTCTGGCAGGATCATGCCAGCCTCGGGGTTCCCCCACACCACCAGCAAGCAGCTGCGAAGCCCACGATATCCCGAGGTGCTGCACTGGTGAAGAGCGGACAAGGAGACTCTCCTGTCTGCACTGCACACTCACAGGACCCAAACACAGGGCCGAGTGTCTCTGGAGGGAAATGAAAGACAGCTTTATGATGAGTAACAAAAGCCAAAACTGAGCAAAATCCCCTGGTTTTTAGCTGACCCTCTCCACGAGCAAACGAAACTCTGCTCCCCTGAGCATCCTGCCGTCCAAGGCGTCTCCGAGGCGTGCATCCCCACTGCACCCTCCTCCTCCAGTACCTCTGTCTAACGCTGGACACCTTGCACACATCCCTCTCCTGCCTTGGTTTCCACCTCTGCTATTTTAGTTCCAAGACACTTCACTGTCTGAACAAACCTCTTAGGATTATAGCAACATTTCCTAATCTTCCCCTGGCTGCAACCCCACTGGCTTAAGCATGAGCACACGGTTGCCTGGAGGGCGACCAAAAACCATTGCTGTGCACCCCTCAGGCCAGAGGATATCAGAAAGACACCTTAAAGGCAGTGCCAGCACTCGAGCCAAGCACCCTCAGCCTTGGCCCTTACCTGACAGTATTAGGAGCTCAAGGATTGCAACATCTCCTATGTAGGCAGCAGCATGCAGCGGCGTTCGTCTTTCTTGGTCCTGAGCAGGGATGTAAGAAACAAAAACGTCTGTGAGCTTCGAGAGCAGGGAGATCGCTCCTCCACTCCCGTCTGCTCCAACACCTCCATAAGCGTGTGCAGCATCTCGGGATGCAGGACGGGGGAAAACTGCTTAAAACCAGCACCCTCATGCAGTGCTGTGGGGGTGCACAGCCCCTTGGGAGCTCCACGGGTGCTGGGGTGTACCCGGTGACCAGAGCAGAGGGCACCTGGGCCATAACCCCAGCACGAGATGGGGAGGTTGTGAGAGCTCCAGCCGCTCATTTCATCCCACCACTGACTCCCTGGAGACCGACCCGATCTGACTCCGGTGCTACTGGACTTAATGAACATCTGCAAAGCACTCTGCGACCGGAGATGAAAGCCTGGCCGTGTTCCGACAGTGCACAGGCTGTCCCATTCTGCACGCTTTCATCCTCTCGGCCAACAATAAAAAACACTCAGAATTACAGACAGCTCCGAAACCAGACTCAGACCTGCTGGCTGCTGAAGGCCAGGAAGGTGCAGAAGCCCCTCTCTGATCTTAAATTGCATTAGCCAAAGAAAAAATACCTTCCACTTCTGTTTACTCAGGGCCGGGCCCTGGGTAACCTCTGCCTCCAGGCATTTGGTTCAGGCTTTTCTTGGGGAACAAGCCAGGTACTAAAGCCAGGAAGCAAACAGTAGAAAACCAGAGGAGTACAACTCGTTTCAAGCCCCAGATTTTGTGTTTGGGGGAAAAAAAAAACATAATTGCCTTTCATTAGGTTAAAAACTGGAAAATGGTGGAGGTTTAATTTTTTTTGGTAACAACTTGTGCTGGCACAAGCAGGCAGAAGGATGTGAAAGCGAAACCCAGCTGTCAGGTCACTGAACAAGCAACAACATTTCTAAACCTGCATACAAAAAGGAAATTAAGTGTTAATAATAGTGGTTTTACTCCTTCAGCAGCTGCGCAAGAGCTCAGCAAAACAATCCCAACCCTCCCTCCTGACAAGAGAGGACGAAGACCTGCTGGGTCCCCAACCGAACCAGTCATGGAAAAAAATCCCCACGCTATCTCTATGTAATAAGCTAAGATACGATCGAATCATTAGTCCTGCTGGCACATGGGCACCAGCACGGGGCTGCCCTCACCTTATGCCAGCCAGCGTCCGCAGTGCCCGCCCTTGACCTCAGGGTTTAACACCACGAGGATCGGGGTGCGCACAGGCCCTGGCTCCGCAGGCTGGGTCGGGCGAACGCCCTGGTGAAGTGCTCAGCGAAACAAACAGAAGCGTGCCAAAAAGCTGGCAGCTGCCTGCAGCACGGCTGGGGAGCAGCATGGACCAGAGCCCCGGTTAATGCCACAGCTCAGAGGAGACAGTGAACCAGAACAGGCTGCTCTTCCCTAAAGCTCACAACTTAGCTCGGCTTTTGGGCTGAGAGCGCAGGAATTGCTGAGCCGGCACCAGTCCAACCGTGCCACTGTGTTAGGCGGACCTGGGCCGGTGCAGGCTGGGCCAGCCAACCTGCCAGCCTGTGTCACAGCAGACTGCATTTCTTATCTGCACATCTGCCGCTGATTCGTTAGGGGAAGCTCATAAACCAGACAAAGGGAAGGCACACTGACAAGTCAGACGGGAACGCTCACCCGCAGGTTTCACCCTGTCCCTCCACGGAGCCTGGAACCCCCGTTCCACATGAGGACAGACCATGCTCATCACCACCAGACTGGGGCTACCAAGGGCTGCTCCCCTAGGAGCCAGCCTGGCCGCTCACAGGACCAGGAGGGATGTGTCTGAACAGTGGCGGCCTCTCCCCACCCCCCCGCGCGCCCTTGAACTCGCCTCCGCTCGGGAACGAGCCTCAAAAACACCCCCTGCCATCAGGCTTAAGATGAGCACAGTGGAAACCCCTCCCAACACTTGTGAGGTGAACCCAGCTTTGCTGAGCAGCTCAAATCCTCCTTCCCCTCTGGGGAACAACCTTATCTCAAGGCAGACCTGCTGTGTTCACACCAAACTATTTTGGGTTGCCATCCTAAAGGAGACAAAGGTAAACCGGCAAGGCAGCTAAGCCAAGCCTCCGTGAAAAGTCCTCCCACACACCCCACAGCCTCTCAGTGATGCTCTGCACGGTGGAGAGCTGTAGGAGACTCTCACCATCCCCTGGGGAGGGGCAGGAGTCCTGGTCTTCCACGCACCCCATTTTACAGATGGTAAGACCAAGGCAACGGGACACAGGTGAGCAGCAAATGGCAGCTGAGCTGGGAGCAGAATCCAGAAATGTTTTGTTTCAAAACCGTGGCTCTGACAATTCTTGCCAAAACGAGTCCCCCCTTGATGGCACCCACATCTCACCTGCTAAGCCTCTGCCTTCCCCTCTGCTAAAGAACCACACTGCAGGGAAGGAAATGGGGAGAGCTGGGTGAAGAAAGGGGAATGAGCACGGCCGGGCAGCACTCACCAATACATTAATGTTCTCCTTCTGATTCAGCAATGACCGCACCTCTTCTATATCGCGGTTGAAGATGGCTTGGACCAGAGGAGGCTACAAAGGAAAAGAGAAGCAAGTTGTGAAGGTGGCACCACATGGAGCACATGAGAGGGAGGAGAACTGGCACTGTCACAGCATGTCAGAGACTTTACACCAGCCTGAATCAGCCAGGACCTTGGTCCACAAACGAGTCCCCTGCTCCTGCTGCTGCCAGAGCCTGGCCCACCAGCAGCACCCAGCATCTTCCTCGCATCCGTGGCTCAGCCAGCACCAGGGACCAATTTTCAAGCCAGCAAAGGTATTTTCATGGTTGTTCGTGGGTGAACAGGCCAAGGAATCATTGGAAAAGCCTCCCCACTTCCCAAGTCCAAGGAGCAGCGCTGATCATGGCCCCAGCAGCCCACCTGTAGAGACTCCAGCAGCGCGCCCATGGCACAGCTTAGCTCTCCACATCCAGCTCCCGCTATCCAAAGCTTTAGCCACTGCCAGAAAATCCTCCCTCCGAGCTGGCTGAAGTCTCCTGGTATGAGACAGACCTTTGCAGACAGTGAATCAGGTTTCCCAAGGCACAACTAGGTGATGTCTCACGCTCTCCTGCAGAAGGCTGTGTACTTAGTGCTGTTCTCCTCTCCTTTGAGAAACACCTACGACACTACGCTCAATGGCGCAAAGAGCCTGGCAAAGCCCAGCCTGGTAAAGCCCAGCCTGGAGCTCCTCCTGTTTCCTGCTGCCCACGTCTCAAAGAAGTTGCCTAGCAGACCTTGGTAAAAACCCGGAGCAGAGCCCTAGCCCAGGTCACAGCGCCAGCCGGTGCCGTGGGCTGCAGAACCGTCGGCCTGAACTGCCACAGCCTCTCGGCCGCCTCTGCGGCACGGCCAGCACCTTTGTCCCTGCACCGAGGTGTGCAGCAGGGCAGGTCGGCCAGGTGGGTGCCGCCCGACCTCTGGGCATCACCCGAGAACACTGCACCCCATTTCTTGTTTCACAGGCCTAAAAACGCCATTCTCATGCAGCAGGTTCTTCGGGGCGGCGTGGAACCTAGGCTGTGGTGCTCGAGGTCTGTTCAGCACTTGGCACCTTGTGATCGCTGTCAAATCCGACGCTTCCCTACTCCAGCTGTCCGAGCCTCTGCTGCTTTTCGCATGGCATGGCCGGGGTGCTGCGACCCTGAGGGAGCTGCGGCAGCCCCAGCACACCCCCTCCAGCTCTGTCCATGCGCCTAAGGCTGGATCTAACGGTCAAAACTGTCAAGCCCCGCTTATCTTAACCTCTCAGAGGAACAACAGAGCTTCATTTTCAAGGCAATCCCTTCTTGTCCCTGCTGCCTAGCCAACCTCACGCTCATCTGCTCACCCTACTATCAAAGTAAAAGCAGTTAAACACGGGGAACACATCCCGGGTCAGAGGGAACACGTGAGTCATTCCCCTGGAATGCAGCAGACTCAGCATCACTCGTTAGACATTTAAAAAAAAGGTTTAAAAAAAAAAAATAAATGGGAAAGAATCGCAGACGATAATTATGCCCTGAGCAGTCTTCAGTGGCGCGCGGTTTGCAGCAGTGCTGGGTCTGACACACCCACCCACCATTCACAGGGAAAGCTAAATGTTTTGGTTACCAAAAAAAAAAAAAGTTCTATTTAAATCACAGATCAATCCCTCATCCTCACCCCTCCCCTCCTTCATCCACCCTGCCAGGCGTTAAACGCTCGCTATATTAATGATGCCGCAGGAGCAGGGGGGTAGAGGGGCAGGTGTAAATATTTGGTTTCCAGGGGCCAGCAGCCCCAACATCCGAAATCGAGGTGGATAAAGAGGGTTTATGTAAAAAGCGCGGGGAAGAGCAGAGGTCCAAGCCAAGGCGACACCGGGGTTCACTGCTCTGGTGATGGGGTACAGGCGTCGAGCCCAAGGAAGCAGGGCCACGAGCGGCAGCGTCCATGCCGCCGGAGATGCTCCCGGCCAGGGAAAGGCGATGGGGCTGCTCAGGGACAGGGGGT